CTCCCTGCTGACACTTGTCTAGGTAGGATATTTACCTCGTCTCTTCCATAGTTTAACGCCGTTAAACACGTTACTCGCACGTGTTCCTCGATTTCACATTGGAGATCATTCCTCTTCTCGTTTCATTTTTTCTTTCTCTCTCTCGAATTAAGGATCTTTTTGAGTCAAGAAAAGTAAGTTTATTTGAAGGGAAGAGCAATCGTTGGAAGTAGTTAATAATTATCGATGATCGGTGGTGAGTTTATCCTTGAATTGAAATCTCTCTCGAGAGTTGGAATTTTTATTATTACGTTGGAAGTTCAACGATAATTTCTCTCTTCTTTTTTGAGCAACTTTCTCTTCACTCGCAAAAAAGAAAAGAAAAAGAAAAAGATATATTTCTTGGGAATTCGCAAGGGTTTCTCGAACTTTTGAAAGTAATTCGTATGCAAACGTATCTTTTTTTTTTTTTTAATTCAAATTTTGTCTCGAACCTCGTGCTATTCCTTCTTCGATCGTATCTAATTACAGTTCCATTATGTCGCAATATGATTCATGCCGCGCATAATTCACTTTCTCTTCATTACGCGTTAAACGCTATTAAAACGCTATGAAAACGACGTTCAACTAGAGCCTTTGGCGGTTTTACGCGTTTTGAAAGCATTTCGAGCCTCGCCTCGCGTCATTTTCCACGTAATTCGTAATTCGTCAAACCTCGCACGCGTATCAATCAATGAGAAACACGCTACGCGTGTATCAATTATCATTTATTAATTCGATTTCTATAATCACGAAACAATGTATCGAGCAAACGAAAAAAAAAAAAAAAGAAAAAAGGATTAAACACACAATTTTCTATTTCTGAAAAATGATAAAAAGCTGCCAAATATTTGTATTATTATTCAACTGCGAGTGCAAATAAATATCCCATCGATCCAAAATTCGAAAAATGGATACGAGATATATGGAATACTTCTATGGTTCTGTATATGATACATCGAATGTGTATATAATACACGAATATCTAGATAAAAAGAAAAAAAGAACGGGACATTTCGAAGGTAAAATTTCGATTGAACTCGAATTAGAAGGAATCGAGTTTTAGCTCGGATCGAAAATAAGATATTTCAAAAATAAAAACTTCAACTTTATCGCGCCCCTATATTTCACTCGATCCGTGAACTCGAATGTGAAGATGAAATATACCCTCAAAATATTTTACTCGAGTCCGAGTCGTGCTCTATAAATCTGAAATCAAAATGTCATTTTCGAAAAATAAAATGGGATTTTCGAGAATAAAATTTCCGGATTTATCCGGTGTTGGAAGTCGAGTTCTAATCGGTCAGCGTCAGCCGGTCGCTGTCAGAAAATCGATAGATTTCCCAACGTTTCGAGAAACGAGGTGTCCTACGGCAACCTCTGATTACGCTCTTTTCAAACGAATTATCCATTTCGAATTTCCTTCTATTAAACTTATTTTCCGATTATTAATCCCTTCACTGAATCGAGAATAATATTCTTCGACTCGACTTCGCATCGTTTTCGTAATATAACAGTTCAACCAATCAGAAACATAGATTTCGTTCCCATTGGGCTGAGCTTGCTCCCTTTCTAGTAACTTTCCAGTTACATAATTTTCGCGGAATCTTTCGCTTTATCGCTGACACTTCGTTCCGCTACAGTTCACTTTCCAAGATCTCAAGATATTCGAAAGAGAAGTAACGCTCGAACCGAGTTTTATCTCATAACGCGAAATATCTATAACGTTTTACCCAAGTGGAGCGAGACATTTTTAACCTTAACCTTATTCTCTATTCTTCTGTATCGATCTCCGGATAGGATAGACGCTATACGTTTCACGACATCGAAAATCAACAGGTTTTTCGATCGTTTCCTCTTTATACGAATATTTCGCCGCATCGATTTTCCGTGTAAAAGTAACTACACGTTACAAAAGTAAATGTCGGCTAACTGAACACGGATCTGATAATAATTCGAGAATCATTTTGACCGATAATCGGAACAATGTTGTTTTCAATATCGGTGAATCGAGTGAAAAATATGCGTGTGCGCGCGAGTTGAAATATTTTTATCTCTCGCTCGTCGTATTTCGTTCAACCGCGAAATAAATTCATTTTACGACGAGAGGTAATTTCATCCCGAGCCGTTTATTTGATTCGCTTATTTGCGGTAAATGACACTCGACTTATTTTTTTTTTTTTTTTTTTGCAAGTGCATCGTTAAAAGTGCATAGAAAATATTGGCTTTGTAAAATAGCCGGGAGGCATCTTGATGTAAATATACATTTGACAAAGGGAATATGTATTTTATTTATTTTATTTGCGCTTAGATTTATAAGCGTTTGTGATTTATTATCGTATCGTATTTTTCATCGCGTTTTCATCGCTTTTAAAGAAATTGCTTAATAAACGTGTTGTACACATAATGCCGTCAACTACTCGCATATCTACATTATCGAAAGTTTAGGAATCAACAACACAAATAAGCCGAGAAAGGAATTTAAGAAAAATAAGTTAAATCAGAATTTTGTTAAACTCGCAGCAATTTTTGCACCGTGTTTCTTTTTCAAAATTATTTTAATTGAGCTCGATCAGCAATCATTCGTTTTTAATTGCTATCTGGCCTAAATTGCCCAAATTTACCAAAAGTTTTTTTGTTGATTTTCAAAAATTCAACGATAATAATTCGTACTTTTTATTCGCAAGTATTTTAATATAACAGTTCATACATACACTCAGAGAAGTTTGAGTAACAAGTTTGATTTAAAAGTTGACGAAGAGCTGATTAAATTTTATTAATTAACAAATTAAAAAAAAGAGAGACTCTAAATTTTGAATACATATATGATAAAAGACACGCAAGAACGTCGAAATAAAAATGGACGAGCATTTAATCAGCCACATCGAACAAATTGGAAAGGAGGAAGGAGGAGGATGGAATAGAATTGCATATACCGGGTTCGTAATTGCGATGCAATTATTACAGAATACCGAGGGGAGAGAAAAAGGAGAATGGAAAACGCGAGCCGAAAACGAGAGACGACCTTGTCCTGGTAACTGCAAAAGCTCGAAAACCATGCGCAAAATTATCGAAGGTTATAAAAGTCGGGCGCAACAGCCGGAGCTTCAGCCTACTAGAAGCATTACTTATGCGCGATTTGTCAAAAGAAAACTTAAATAGTTATCGAAGAAATCGACGATTTTCGTACGATAACGCGTTCTGCTTTCTCTTCTTCTCATTTTGTTAAACCAGATTTTTCTCGCTCAGTATTTTATAACGAAAATTCTTAGCAATTATTTGTATCATTTAGATAGAAACGTGATAAATAAAATTATTACTTATGATTTGCGGAGAACGATTCGAAGGAATCGCGTTTTCGAAAAAAAAATTGAGATAATATTTTCGACTTCTCTTCTTTCCTCTACTTTTATCAAATATTTCAGTCAATATCTTCTTTTAAATAATTCATCTAACGCGAAGAATGATTTTCAAATTCTTAATATTACGCCAATACATTTAATTCCCAACGTCTGATTCAAAATAAAATTTATTGTCGATCCTATCAAAATATCCAAGAATTTTGCAATGCAAAATCGTAGCTCATTTGATTATTATAAGAGTTATGCCTCGAAAATATTACGGAACATTGTTTACGATCTCATAAAATCCGAAGGTGCTCGAACGAATTTTCATTCTTTTTTTTTTTTTCGAGCCGTCTTTTAACGCGATATAAATTTGCCAGGGAAAAACCGTTGCTATAAACGCACATGGTATTAACGACTGTGTCCGCAAATATAGAACGCGGTTATTTTTTTCACTGGCCTACAAAAGAAAGAAGCCACCCACTTCTCTTCGCTCCACTTTGACGCTTTTTTTATTTTGCTCAAAACGATCCGAATTCGATTTATCCCCCTTCTCTATCCTCTCTGTATGCGCATGTACAAATCATATCTTGATACGTTTTCCTCTTCTGCCTCAAATAAATTCAATTCATCAATGATTCTAACGATCTCGCGAACTCGTCCAATTTCTCTGAAATGTTTTTCACGTCGTGGATCACATTCGAATCAAAAAACGATTTGGCCCGTGAAATTTCGCGATAACTCTATTAGAGATTCCATCTTTTCGCGCGAATACCTGTGTATTTCCGTATCTCCCTGATAATATCTTCGCTGATAACGGTATCACTGCACGTAAAAATTATTTCCACGAGTTTTATGCGAAAAAAGAACTGATTCAGAATCACGAGTGACGAGAATATATACATAATACACATGTGCAATGGTTACATAACCTCACTCTGCAACGAAACGATTTTTAAACGCGTTTTACACTCAGTTTTATTCTCATAGCATAATTATATTATTAATACAAGTTTAATATATTTACATATTAAGTTAATTTTAGTTAATTTAAGTTAAATTAAATTAGAATGATATATCACATTAATTATAAATGTTTTTTTATTATATAGATAAGAAAGTTCTATCGGTTGATAAATTGTATATGGATTGTTTTTTTTTTTTTTGTTATTAAAACTAAAATTTATCATAATTAAGTTTATTTTAATGCTTAGACAATTGCACATCGAAACACGTCCTCAGACCATCAAGTGTTAATGGAAATTACGTATATAGAATAAATATTTCGTTTATATTTTTCTCCTGACGTTAGAAATTAATAATAATTTCGCTTATTTCGCTTTTCTAAGAAAAAGAAATTTTCCAAAGTAACCAACATTCTAACCTAACTTTTCTTAAAATTCTACAAAAAAAAACGTTTGTGATTTTTGTAAAATTGACAGAATTTCGTATTCACTTCGTAATCATTCGATGAGACACGAATTTGACAGAAATTGCACCACATACGAGCATATTATTCATCTCATACATAGTTTCTAGAGCTTTTCCCTTCTGTTTACCGAACACTTTTTTGCCAATCGTTGCTTCTCGTTACATTTTGCACTCGATTAAAATTGCTTTCGTTCGTTTCTGTTTCAGTTACCGAGAAGGAGATTCGACAATGGTGAGTCACTAAAAATGAATTTTCGACCTGTACACATATCTCGAATCAATTCGTATCGAGGATCGACGAATCGACATCGATATCGAATATAATCGCGCTGTCATATTAAAATTGTCCAGCGGATTATGCGAATGTGCATACGTTCATACGGTATTTAACGTTATAAATAAAATTGAACGCTTCTGATTTCCATTAAATTGTATTTTAATAATAATTAAGTGATAATTAATTCTTACATTTGAAAATACTTAGCACCTTATTTGTATGGGAAAATGTTCTACGAGTGTGTATAGAAATTCGCGAAGTTTGAATCGAAACTTTTTCCTTTTCCTTTAAAAAGTATCTATTTTGTGAAATATCAAAATCTTGATAAATTTTTATTTAAATCCCCTTTCTATATGGGATCGTAAACGCACAATATTTTTTTAAGTTATTATTTTCTTTGAATTTAAATTTAAAATCATATAAAATCATTTAAAGTAACAAGAATATTCATCAATACCATTGGTTTTGTACAAAAATTTCTGTATCTTTCGTTCTATTTCTTTCCTTCTCATAAACTAGTTCGAAATCGTACTAATTACAACGAGACTACGAGTTAAATTATCATCGTTTAATTAAATAAATGATGAAATAAATTATCAACACAAATTATTCTCTTTTTATCCAGCAATTTTCGAGCAATTTTGCAATTACAAAAATAAAAACGAAATAAATTTCGAAAGCTCGAAAACTCGAGTTTCGAGAGGTTTCGAGATTTCGAGTGCTCCATCACGTAACGTAACGTGTTCCATCGGATGCGCGGTTTTAATCTATCTGTCCCTTACAGTAACGTTTTGCCAATCGATTCATCCGTTTCTAGAATATAAAATTGAAAAAAGGAAAACGGTTTGTTACGAAACGAGTAAGAACAGATTCGATAACATTGGCGACTGTTTGTTTAGGCACAAAGGATTCCTGAAAGACTGCCCCGACGGGTTGCTGACGGAACAGGTATGACCCCGTTTCACCTGGCACGTTAATTAAACGAAAATCGATACGCGACTAGATAAGGGGAAAGTTTCAAGATAAAGGTTGCCTGTTGCGTGATTTTCAGGGTTTCATAAAGATCTACAAGCAGTTCTTTCCCCACGGCGATCCATCGAAATTCGCCTCCCTCGTTTTCAGAGTGTTCGACGAAAATAGCGTAAGTATTATGCAACAGCGTAATTTATTCCCAACGATTCGACGTTTATTATTCGCGTTTGTTTATGTTAATTGCGAACGAAGTACACTGTCGTTCAAAAGTTTGGATGCGCTCGTAATTTTTTTTAAAACATTTCTGATTCGTCGCACGATACAATCTCGAGAATCAAAGAATTTGTATGATCGTTGAAAAAAGAAAAGCGATTAAATAGATTTGGAAGTTGTTGTACGTGACTTGAATATTTTTTTCGTCAATCGTATTCACACGAATCAAATTGCGTCAAAATGTTTTAATGAATTATTGCATTTCATATATTTGTAAAAAAATTGCTGACGAAAACAATTTTTCATTGGTATAAAAAATATCACTAGATTGATGAGACGTAACTATAAGGAATTATTAATAACGATCAATTGGATTAAATCAATTGCTATAATTTTTCGACGAACAAAATGAACTTGTTGAAACAAACTTTACAATCAATATTAGATTTTCGATTAATTTCGTCACTTTATCTGCAACAATCCAATATAAAAATAATCGTAAATGTTTTTTAACAGACATTAGACATTGAAAAATTAATGGAATGACAAAAATTCGTTTAAATGTGATTAAAAAGGAAAAAAAAAAAAATGGTCATTTTGATGAAACAGAAATTTTTGTTTCAATATATAAAGCGTTCCAGATTTTTCTTCTTTTTTTATTTCACCAGTGTGTTCTACAAGTAAAAATAAGATTAAAGTGTCACGTGCATATCACGTTTAGTTACTTTATTAAAAGGTTGCAACAAAAATATGAAAGGCAATATAAACTCTGCAAATATCTACATTTCCATTCCATCAAAACGTCATCCACCTTTATGAAACTATTGAATTTATTGTAATTATTCACAACAGAGAACTTCATCTGGCCTTTACTTACGACGAATAGAAATAATATACGTTCCTTTTACACGTGTGTATTCTACTTTTGTCTGTACAACATATTGATTGAATGTTTGAACGAGAAGGAGCATCTGGATAACATCTCTATATACCATTATTTACATTAATTATTCAGTATATCATTCAATTTATTCAGCAATTTTCATCGATTGTAGCAGATAAAAATTTATAAATACGCGAATTTTGATGTTTTTACTTGAAATTCCTTACTGCTTCCAAACTTTTGAACGATACTGTACTATCTCTTTTTTTTTACCTACTCCCCCCTTGCAATCTTCTTTGTGTTAGAATTTCTGTTAGAAATATATTAACATATAAAGTGGTTGCTAGTCTACTTGCCCCGTTTATGAATAATAACAATAATTTCAAAGGATTTATCACGATTTTACTTAGTCGATGTTTCTTTAAAACTTATCATCCTTGCGACAAAAAATTAAAAAAAAAAAAAAATAAAAATTACCGAGATTGTACATTTACAAGCGTAGCAGTCGAATCACGAAAATTTATGCAAAATATAAAATTCCCTATGGTTCCTACATTTCCATTTTCTAAGCGAGAATAAATGTCGCTTTAAGCGAAAACCATTTCGAAAGAATATCTACGAAGATACGATACGAAGATATCCCCCTCTCCACGTCCCAACCCTTTTCAATTTTAGAACGAGACGATTCTACTATTTTTTATTTACCATTTTTACTTCCATACCATTCACGCAAACACTAGTTGTGTTTAAAAAATCTTCCACGTATAGTTTAGAATCTGCGATGCAACGTTTTCCCCTTTGTCTTCTTAATTTCGCTTCTGTACCACTTAATCCCTCGACGCTCAAACTTTTTTTCCGCTGAGTTTTCGTTCGGAAGATTAAAATGTTAAACTTTTTTGCAATAAATCACTGACTGACCATAAAAATAGGCGGTATACATTATTTGATATAAATAAGATACAATAAAACATGAGATGAATTTTTAAAAAAAAATAATTTCTAAATCGAATTTTTTTTTTTTATTAAAATACGTATGAATTTCCCTTTACGTTTCAAATAATTTTCGTAAGTAATTTTGTAACCAGTAATTCGACCAGAAATAATTAAAAGATAAATATATTTATGGAATAGGAATAAAAATCGCAAATAGATGTACAATCAGTTACAAAAGTTTTCGTACATTTTATGAATATTTATATATGGAATAATTTTCTTATTAATGGAATATCATTTCGAAATCAACCCTTAGAGTATTAGTATTATTTTCGTTTTTTTTTTTTTGAATTTAAATTATAAAATAACTTACCATAAAAAAATATTCCCAAGTCATTTGTACGGGAAAAAGAAAATAAATTGCAAATTTTTCAAAGAAATGAATTTTCCTTGACTTTCTTCCCTGTGACTGACTGTACATTCTCTCTATCGTAATATCGATTGGAGAAAAATTTTTTTCTTACCCCTTTCTAAAAAAAAAATTAGATTTTGAAAAGAGTTTATGACAAAAAAAAAAATATAAGCAAAAATAATCAAAGGGCGTGGAGAGGTTAACGAACTTTAAAAAGTCTTCATAAAAGGTTAAACGATCCGTGTGATCTGAAAAGCGATTCATCGATTATCCGGATAATTTTGTTCCTCCTCGTGATAAATTCATCGCGAAATTTGAACTAAATTTCTGGTTTTCTGAAACGGGAAACGCAATCTCCACGAACGAATATCCTTCTTTTTTTTTTTCTTTTTTTTTCCCCTCCCCCCCCTTTCTTTTTTGTTCTCAGGACGGCACGATAGAATTCGAAGAGTTCATAAGGGCGCTCTCGGTGACGTCGCGCGGAAACTTGGACGAGAAACTTCACTGTGAGTAAAACCTTCTGACAACTTGACGATATATATAAATAGAAAGCTTGAAATTAAGCGAGACAAATGTTTCCAAGATTTCCAAGTGAATTCCGTTGTGTACGACACGTTCAAACACGGAACGAAACGGCTGACTGTGGTGACAGTTTTTGAATGAGTTTCGTGTTTAGAAAATAAATTATGAAATTTCAAGAATTAACGGAGTAATAATAATAATAATGGAAAAATTAACGAATGTTCCTGAATGATGTGATACACACGTGTTTTGTGAAACAAAATGACGGATGGTCCTTTTTTAAACGCGTTTCGTCGAACGATATTATACGAGTTTCGAGAAAATTTTTTAGTATTTCGGTATTTTCACCGGTTTACTATGATCTTGTTACTCATAAAATTTTATTATAACTTATTATTATACCATACGTGTATTTCACGCGCGTGTAAAGGTATATCTGTGTACAAATACAGTAATAAAAAATTTAGAAGTGTACGGTACACGTGTACGGTATTTGGCAAATATAGTGAATGTGCCTAGGTGCATATATTTCTAAAGTATTTATAAACAGGTGTACTTCTGTGCACGTCGAAATTCCATTTTCCTTTCCTGTTCAACTTTCACTATTCTCCATTTTTTAAAATGTTTCTAAACCTATTCGTAAAAATATTTCAACTGGCTTTCAATTCATCTTCGAAGTCACGTTATCACTCTTGAAGCTAAGAAATTATTTTAATAATTTTCCATTATTATTAACTTAGAAAAGAACTTACTACGTTTTTTTTTTTTTGAAAATTTGTACATCGATAAAAACTGAAAAAACGACAAAGAGAACAAGCTAACATTTTTACTTCGAATCATATTGTAAAATATTGTGTCCATATTAAGGAAATAGTAATAACGGTAATAATGAAGACTCTTCTTTTTTTTTTTTCTTTTTTTCCATTTTCAGGGGCGTTTCGACTCTATGACGTGGATAACGATGGTTTCATCACAAGGGAGGAAATGTACAATATCGTCGACGCGATGTACGAGATGGTGGTAGGTACATTGCTTCTAAAGTGTCGAGAAAATTAGAAACTTCCCTCCCCTTTATCTTTCCACTCCTGCAACGTATCGAGAAAAAGGAAGCAACAGTTGCAAAAAGTATTTATGCACATCCCTCTTTGTCAATTAATTGCTCTTTCGTCGTGTTTTATGTTTCGGTTTAATTAATTTAATTTCATTTTTAATTTTTTTTTCTTTGATAAAAATATTACCTTTATGGAAACACCTAAGGAAACTATTTGTCACACATAAAAAATTAAAATTTTATACGAAATAAATACAATAAGCTATTTATATAAATAAATTTTGAACTTAATTAATTAGCGTAAATACTTGTACGCTCATACTGTCCTCTTAAATTAAAATGTTCTCTCCGTTATTTCCTTCGTTTTTCACAATTTCATAAAATCAGAAAATTTTTTTCCAATTTATTTATTATTCCAAGGAAAACAAAACGAGAAAAAAATTTCAAATCTCTCGAAATATCAAATGGAACACGTTAATTGGTAGAAACAATATGGCTCTCTTATTATTAACATTTTTTGTAATGAACTTTGACGAAATCGTATTAACGAAATTTTAATTAATAAATCTACGTGAAATTAGAGAAACGATAATTCTTTAAGAGATTAACCTAAAAAAAAGAAAAAAAATATGTAAAACATTTCCATTGCACATTTTTCGTCTGATTAAAATTATTCGATCGTTACATAGTCGAGTTTCGAGACACAGTTTAATACACCACTTAAACAGTTAGCTGCTTATTATACTGGATAACAGTGACGAATTCGATCCTATATAACGGAATCACGATCAAAGTTAATTGGATTTCGTAATTACGTTCCAGTTCCTTGTTTATTTGAACATACACCACCGATAATTATATCTGACGACGCGTTACGCTACATTCGTCAATTTCGCGTCCATTTCGGATCGATGAGTTAACGATCACAAAAGCAAATAACAATTGATATATTTGGAATACTGGATTGTTCATCGATGATAAAAACAATTCGTGTACTTTTTGCAAAAATAATTTAATAAAATGACGATTGATCTTTAATTTGAAAATTGAATATTTAGATTATCCTTATAGATAATATCACATATACAAGGATTTATTAATAAAATTCGCGTGTATGTAGAGCATAATAAATAAAATTTTGAACATTTTTTTTCCTGTACAATAAGATAAGAATGATAAAGTATTCAATTTTAAATTTTACCTCGAAATATAATTTCATTTAAAAAAAGAAAATTTCTTCACGCGAAATATATTCCATCAATTTTTGTTCAACGCAATTCGTTAAAAGTCGAACCGTTATTTCACGTTAATTTATTACGAAACATTTTTATGCAATCTTTGAAACAAATCTTTCGATTAGTTGAATCCCCTTATAAGATAACACACGAAAACTTTAATCCCTCACTTCATTTGCACAACAGTCCAATAATAAAAATGAATCTTCACAAATCCTTCTTTCCAATCAAATTAATACGTATTAATTATTCGAAAGAAAAAAACAAATATTCCTAATCTACGTGAAGAAACAACCGCACGAACTTATTCGAGAAACAATATCAATCCCCTCCAAAAAGTGGAAGAAAGAATTACTAAATTTCCTCATAAGGTAGCACAACCTAACAATAAAAATGGATCTTCACACCCTTCGAGTTTCTCTCTCCAATCAAATAATATTAATTATTCAAAAAAAAAAAAGAAAGAAAGAAAAGAATCGCACGAACTCATCGAACAACCGATATCAACAATTTCCTTACAAGATAATACTTGATAACAGAAATAGATCCTCCTTCTTCCAATCAAATAATATTAATTATTCAAGAAAAAACAAGAATGGCCACCAACTTATCGAATCAACCGGACCCTCTCCAAGAATTGGAAAAGAAGATTGCTAAATTTCCTTGCAAAATAATATCAATCTTCGAGCTCCGATCGAATAATATTAATTATTCAAAAGAAGAAAAGGAAGGAATCGCACAAACTTATTGGACAACCGATAATCAAGAATCCCCCCCCCCTTTCAGGGGGGTTGAAGGATTGTTTTTCCCCGCCTCTCCCCCCTCGATTGCGGTTAATCGTACGATCGGTCTTGAGACTCGTGGAAAATCTTGGCCGATCGATGCCCGAATTTCCCCGTGGAACGCCGACGCCGACGTCAAAGTCGACGCCGACGCCGAGGACGTCGGCTTTATCAATATCGTTTCGCATTGGCGCCAGCAAAGGGGGAAAATTCCAGCCGCGCCACGGATTAGACGAGATCGATCAAGGAGGAGAGGTCCTCGATTATCGAGCACGTGGAGGATGATCATCCTTCGGGATACAATCGCGGCCACCAATGGGCCGTGGGATGGGGATCTTGATTTCGCGGATCGATCGTGAAATCGGCCGTGAAAATGGAGAGATTAACGCTGAGTCTGATTGTTACTCGGCTGTTGTGTTGCGGAAAAAGCGAAGCGTACATGAATTGAAAACGAGGATTGTTCTCGATTGCTTGCCTATCGTTGGAATAAGACGCGATAAAATTATATTTGGCGTGCAGAGTTGAAATTTAATTGATAACTTTGTTTTCGAATTGAACATTTGTTCTACTCTTTGGGTAATAAGAGACGCTTCGAATGTTAAATTAATCGAAAGTATTAATTGTTAAAATTTGCTTTCGTGTCATTTCGTGTGAATGGAATAATTTTTTGATAAGTGTAAAATTTGTGTGTCTTGAAATCCTTTTGGACGGTAAAAAGAATAAAATCGGTATGACTTTTACTTCGTTTCGTTATTAAAAGAATTAATTATATGTAACGCAATACAAGTTTGTTGGTTGTAAGTTTTATAATCGTTCTATACACATTCAAATTATTTTAGCATAACTTTTTCTTCTTTCGAGAGATTAAAATAAATTTTTTCTCTTGTGTCTCTTGAATCGAAAATTAAAATTCCAAACGAAGTAGTCGATTGCTAAATCAAACTTTTCAAGATTAAATTTTTATTTTAAGAAAAAAGATTCTTTTTTTTTTAATTTATTATTCGACCAAATAAAGAACGTAACAATATCGATTGAAATATATTGTTTCTTAGGAATTAATTTTCGTAGCTTCAAATATTTTTCAATTTTACATACGAAATAAATTTCGTCCAAATCTGATTCAACACAACAAGTTTCATTGCCTTACTGATAAATTTTTTTATCCACCGTGTAATAAAAACAGGCCCAACTATATCATGAAATCCAAGTGAACCAAATAATTAAATTCATAATCATTATCAAGTAACACAAATGCACGACACGACCATTCTTATCGAGCTTGCCATCGCTCCTTATTCCCTTTTTCATTTCGATCCTATCTTTTATAAATTGCATGTGGTTTTTTTTTAAGGGCGTGTTTAGAGAAAAAAATGCTCGCTTCCGATGTCTCCTTGATTTTCAAAGTAATATCGCGAAATGTTCGAGTTTCTTGCCAATTTTTAATGATATTCAGTGAAAAAAGTCTCGATATGTACTTACAATTTTTTATTTTAAAAAGTTTGATTTAGCTAAATTTCCTCGTAAGACTTTCTCGAGTCAAAGACTATCGTTTTGCATAATCAGTGTTATTAATTGTTGTTTCTTTTTATCGTCATTCTCTCTCGATACATCAATTTTCTCGATAATTGATAATTTTGAATATTTCGCAATAAAATATGTATCCCTTTCGTTTCGTTCAGAATTACCGCCTAAACTAGTTTGGAATAACAGTGAAGCAGCTGTCCAACTGTTCCAATGGGTGTCACAAGAACGTCGTTAAACGTTTTTACCAAATTTCGATGCTATAAATATCTGATTAATCGCGTATCAGTCCGAAGTGACAGCTGCGCCACGGGTATAAAAGCATCCTCTCCCCATTGTTGATTAAACAACGGGTCTTTGGTGGAACGTGTTTCGAATTTTATTTTGGATAATTTTATGAACGGTTCCGCTAATTTTTTAATCAAAAAAAAAAGGAAAAGTTCAACGAACGTTTGTACTTCACTCGTTTCATCGAACAAACGATCCAATGTTTCACGATGATTTCGATCATTCGTTTGTTGGAAAAAAAAAAAAAAATAAAAGAAGTAAAGTAAATTGAAAATTGTATAATTAAAATGATAAAAATGAATCGATAAATTTGGGCACAAAGGAAAAATAGAATAAAGAAGAAGGTAACGGGAAAATAAATGAGTGGAAAATTGATGAATGAAAGTGATTTATGAGTTAAAAAAATAATAAGAAAAAACAAGAATATCTAAAAAAAAAACTTTAACTTTATAGATAAAAGAGCATGTAAATTGGAGCATGGAAATTGTATTTTTTGAAAAAAAAAAAAAAAGAGTTGATGATGAAAACATTTACAAATTATGATGAAGATAAATTATAAACTTGTAAGCTGAGAAAAATCAAAAATAGAAAAAAGAAAAAGAAGAATAAGTAGAGAATCGAGGAACAGAAACGTGCCAAAAATTTACGAATAAAAGTAAAGAAGATATAAAATCATGAAAAAGAGGAAAGTAAAAAGTCGAAAAGTTATGGCAAAGATAATTTCCATTTGCTTTGAGCTGATCTCTCGACGCACAGCCCGTGCAAGAAAACCATTGTGGACAACTGGGACAACGAGACAAAGAAAACACTTTAATTCAATGATATTTCTCTTGGCCAACGTGCAACGATACGATGGAAATAAACACGATGTTAAACACGATACATTGCATTTTCCCGTAAATCGCGTTAAATGCCACAGGCTGCAAGCGATATATGAAAACTCGTCGGTTTTATTTCTTTTTTTCTTTTCTTTTTTTTTCCCCTACTTCTTCTTTTTAATCCAATTTTATTCCAACGCAAGATTCGAGATAAGTTTCCTCCGCGGAATACATAATACCAAGGCACTTAATTACATCACGACTAACCCTATTCCACGGGATATTCAACGGGAAAAAGAATTATTATTAACCTTGTGTCGCAATTTTACTCGCAACCGTTAATTTCGCTTTCGAGACATTTAAATTTAAAATTCCTGGTATATTCCAATTTCTAACTAGTCTCGATTCGACACTGTCTCATCAAAGATAATGATACGCAAGTGAAAGATATCCTGGCCTCCGTGATTAAAATACTTTTTCACAGAGCAAAAACGTTTAAATTCCTAGTATATTACTAGTCCATTTTTCTAACTAGTCTCGTCTCATCAAAGATAATAACACGCAAGTGAAAAATATCCTAGCGTTCATGATTAAAATACTTTTTCTTTAGAGCAGAAACATTTAAATTCGAAATTCCTAGTCCAATTTCCAACTAGTCTCGACGGTGTCACGTCAAAGACAATAACACGCAAGTGAAAAATATCCTGGCCTCCGTGATCATTAAAATACTTTTTCATGGGGCAAAAACATTTAAATTCGAAATTCCTAGTACATTCCTAGTCCAATTTCTAACTGGTCTCGACGGTGTCACATCAAAGAGTCACAATAAGACGCAAGTGAAAAATATCCGAGGCGGTTCGCAGTGAAATCTCTATAATTTTATCTTTTCATAGAGTGTTAAAGACTTTCGCAGGTGGGTATAAACTCGGTCAAAAGTCGGAAGCGATGAACGATACGGGAGTGGAAGAAAAATCCGATCTAAAGCTCCGTTAACTTCTCACCCTAGCTCGAGTTTTATCTAAAGTCTCGCCGACACGAGAAACTCGAATTAAAGGACCCTCGTCACAATTTTTCTCCCGTTTTCGGACGGCGACCTATAAACTCGGCTGTACCGGGCTCGACAATTAAGGGACACACAATTCACATTTCGAACGTGCTCTTTACAGTTTTCAACTCGTACATCCATTCGATTTCGAGATAACGAATATACCTACAAAATCATCCAATTGTTAAATTAATTATGAATGATAAAAATTATACCATATTGCATTACTTAATACTAACTTATAACAGTATATATAATAACTACAATTACTTAGGATACTTGTTCAATTTTGGACCCACTCTCTCTTCTCACTCGTGCCACGAATCTGCTTAACGTTCGAACACCTATCCTATTTCTCTAATCTGCCCAGAAATACCCGTAAGCCACTTTTCCAAATCGCGAATGAATAATAGATTATTCCTGATCGGTTGTGTCGTTGTTCTATTCCAGGGTCAACAGCCGCAGGCGGAAGACGAGAACACGCCGCAGAAAAGGGTGGACAAGATCTTCGATCAAATGGACAAAAACCACGACGACAAGCTGACCCTGGAGGAGTTTCGGGAGGGTAGCAAGGCCGACCCGAGGATCGTGCAGGCGCTGTCGCTAGGCGGCGAGTAACGGCAGCCCTTCTCGAGGCCGGACAAATCGTCGTCGTCGTTCGTTTCAAGCCGAACGATCGCCCCGTCGCCTCGATCCGGTCGTCGAAACGGATAACAGAGAAAGAGAGAGAGAGAGAGAGAGAGAGAAGAAAGAAGAAGAAGAAGAGAAGAGATGTTGGGTGT